GTCTACCTTGACAGAGAACTGAAGCCAAAAAATTGGCTGACCCGGTTTGAGCCCGAGGTTCAGAGCAAGTGAAAAGAAACTGGACATGCTGCCTTTTGCCATGAGATACCATGAGTTTACGTATGTTCAGCCTCACTTGTCCATTGATCTCAGACGCCTTGCCTCCCACGACAGGTTCTTGGCAAAGTCCTGCCCAGGACTCAAACATCTTCAAAAGCGCTCTCGGAACACATTTTGCAAAACTGAACCATTGCGAGCCTTACAATATCATTATCTTCATCTTTACCAATCATGATCTTTGAAGCAGATGAGTTCATGCGTTTTGTGGTGGCGTCATTGCGATGGTGGGGGGTCCTTGTGCAGCCAACAAGCCTCATTGACTCATTGACTCGTGTAGACCCTCAAGGCGCACCGTCTGCTTCTTGGTCTCCTGTACCGGGGCAGCTCCTTCACTGCATTACTAGTTGGGAAGCCAGTGCTGGATGACTCACAATGGGGGTATCAACCAGCAATCATGGGGATATTAAAATATATTAAAATATGAACATTATTAGGCATCAACAACTTTGAATGACTTTGAAACAATTTGAAAATTACCAGTCTTGAAATGTAATATGTTGAAACCAACTCAGATCGTTGTGATATGTTGCAAAGAAACGGGATTTGATGATTGGCTGAATCGTTCATGACTGAATCTTTCAAACATTTATATAATCTGCTCTAGGATTCATATCTTCCACAGTAGCATGTCGAATGGCTCTCCATGACATGCCAAACCCCCACCTCATCGATCACAAAAATTGATGAAAATTGCCTATCGTGGGCAATGGGAAGCCGCGAAGCCAAACAAAGAACACAAACATATTTTCAATCAAATTTCTAGGTCCATTGTGTCATGCAAGTTGATTGGGAGGATACACGCCGGACTTAGAGGAGAGTTCCTTCCCGTTCTTGGCGAATGCAGTTGAAGAACTTACATTTAAAATAATTTCAAAAAAAAACTGTTCAACAAATTTCAACAATAGTAATGGCAATAGCACCCCCCCTGAAAGGACCGGCAATAGTTAAGGTTGCAAAATCAAAGCATGAAGGAAACATAGCATGCAACGAAGCTAAATGCGTTGTTTTCATGCTATATGGGAATCGGTATTGGTGAAAAGCAAGCGTGCAAGACATCACAGGAAAACATATCGCAAATGCTGCTCGAAAAAAAATGAACATCATGTCCGATCTCCAAACATCTGCAGAAATGAAATGGTTATTTATTCTTCGTCGAAACAAAAGTACACAGTACGCACTGCTCCCAAATCCTATGTTCATTATATAAACCTGTACACTTTATGGTTGTTTTTGATGTATCAAAATCGCTCGCGTTTTGATTCTTTGACATGTTTTAATTCTGTCTGCCTTGAAATAATACAATTGTGACTGTAGGAGCTGAATTTGTATAATTTGTCTTGATGTGTTTCACAAAAATGAAAGCTGAAGAAAAAAAAGACAAAGACGATAAGGTTCGTCTGACCCATCGACCCTGCATGTGGCCCACCTTCGCCACCCGAAAGGGTGCCGGGTTCAAACTTTTGAACTCACCCGGGTCCGGACCTCAGCGAGCGGGGAAAAAAAAAAAACCGCCCCTCCGGGTGCCACGGAAAAGTGGGAAACTCTTGAAGAGATGGGGTTGGTGGTGGGTCAAGTACTCGTCCGAATGTCACAAGCAAGAAACAACGTGGTGTTGATGTCCATCCATTCAGTCTTAGTCCTGTTGGTTTTGACCCACATCTGTGCTAGGTGGATTCTGAATCTGGAACTGCTCCCACAGTTCAACTGGCGCATCCCACTTGCAAACTGAGCCAAGGACGACATTGGAATCCGCCGCACCTGCACGTCCAGGGATTGAATCGCTCACAGATTTTTCCGACACACATGCAAAGTGCATCAGAGTTCTGTGTCCAGAGCCCTTTGAGACTCAAACAAAACTCTTGGAAACCAGTCGAGCGGCCCGAGCGGCATATGGCATAAGATCTTTCTGGCTGGACGAAGGACAGCGAAGAGGATCGAAGAGGTATACCCGGCTGCCACTGAGGCTGCTCGGAAGGGGTTCGCATATGTATTTGTGATGCGAGGTGTTCGGAAAGAATTATAAATATGGTATTAGGCAGTCAGCTTGCAGGGAAAAAAACTGAATGCCAGCACATGCCAACAGTTGAACTGGCGCATCCCACTTACAAACTGAGCCAAGGACGACATTGGCATACAGATTTTTCCGACACACATGAATTCGCTCTGTCTGAGGACTTCTAGGTAAGAGCAGAGCCCTTTGAGACTCAAACAAAACTCTTGGAGACCAGTCGAGCGGCCCGAGCGGCATAAGATCTTTCTGGACGAAGGACAGCGAAGAGGTATGCCCGGCTGCCACTGAGGCTGCTCGGGAGGGGTTCGCATATGTATTTGTGATGCGAGGTGTTCAGAAAGAATTATAAAGTTAGTATTAGGCAATCAGATGGCATAAAATGGCCATCATTATGCGGGGTGATGCCCAATTTTCAGGTACACCCAACAGGTCTGCCTGTTGGCTGATCCCCTGAGCTTATGGTGAGATGTTCCACATTTTGCAAGAAAACCATGAAACAACATATGCACGTCAGGCTTTTTTCGGGTAGAACATGGTGTAAAACCCGTTCTTCCTGGCTAAACACCAGGTCATCATCTATCGCATTTCCGCTGTGACAACAACACCCACCTGCAGATGGTTCGGAGCTGCTAAAGTCGCCTGGCGACATGCCATGACACACTTGGTCTGGCTTTGTCAGAAACTCTATTGTTGTTTATCGCTACGCACCGGAACGTAAACTTTTTTTTGTAGATTGATAAATTGATATGGAAACATCTCCAGAATTATTCAAATCATTTAGATATCCACTTGGGACATCATGGAAAGGAGCATCACCATGTGACTCCAAGGGTGACGTGAACTGGGATCACATGCGGCCCCCAAAACGTCTCCAACTAATGAAGCAATCAAAATGACTTCAGCAATATATGAAATGTTGTCATCATGAAGTGATCTATTCTCAGTTGAATCAGATTCATCCATACATTTAGTCATCTAGCGACAGCTTTTACAACCGTTTCTGTGGAGAAAATGAGTCATCTGTTGCCGGCTTACCATTCGGAAAGCTAACAGCCAAATGTTGAAAATCGGGAAAATGGTTGAGAAATGGTCTATACTGTACATAAGGGATTTTCTATGTATCAAGCTGCTGGTTTATTGGACGGTCAGTACATCCGTCGGCTTTTTTTCCACCCTCGCAGGCGTGGTTCAGGATCAAAGTAGCTGAGTCAGCAGGGCTGGCTGTGCAACCCAGGATGGTTACTGTTCAGTGGACCTGCCATAGGTGAGAAATGGCTGTCTCCAAAAATGGTGGATACCCCCAATTTATCACCTTGATAAAGAAATATAAAGACCTTGAGACCAAGGGGAAGGGGACGAAAACTAGTTGGGCGGGAAAAGATGTGTATTGAGAGAATATGCCGCGACCTTTTTAGTTTCAATTCTTGACCTTAAAAATGGGAAAAAGGTCGCCCCAAATATGTGATCCATTAATGCCACTGAAAATGTAATGATGACATGCTAAAGTTGGTTCATATGTCTCAAGAAGGAATGTTCGTCAGCAGTCATGGTATCCGTTGCAGACATACAGACACACAGACATGCACACATGCATTTACACACATACACGACATTAAATTCCATTACATCACATCACATTGCAGTGCAGTGCAGTGAGGTCGTATTGCATTATATTACATTAAATCACGTGATATCGCATTGCATACATGACATAGACACATACACAAGTGTACGCATACATTACACTACCATTACCATTTCATTTACATGTACATTTGCATTTACATTAGCAGTTACATTTACATTTACATTTGCATTACATTACATTACAACGGTACATTACGTTACGTTACGTTACTCTACATCACGTTAGTTACGTTCCGTTACATTAAATAACATCACGTTACATTACATCAAGTTACATTGCATTACATACATGACATAGACACATATACACACATACACACAAACACATACATACACACATACAGTACTTACACTATGCTACATCACGTCACATGACCTCACATCACATCACTTTGCGTTACGTTACATGTCATATATGACATACATGACACAACGTAACATTACATTACATTACATTACACTGCATTACATTGCATGAAATTACATTACATTACCTTACCTTTCCTTACATACATGAATACATACCATATACACAAGTATAGAGAGAGAGAGAGCAACTCTATATGATAAGTAAAAGAGGTGATGTTCGGAAACCCAGTAGTTTCAGCGCCAAACCAAACACAAAACATCAGGGCATGTAAGGACACAAAACTTGGTTCATAACATCCACTTTGGAGGAGACCTGAAGGCATCCATGAAACACATATGCACAGTGATAATATGAGCATGTTGTCGCCTTACACAATAAGTAGCTAATTGTTTCTGCAAATTTCACCAGAGTTCTGATTGGAAAAGGTGTTCACACTGAAAGTGTCGCCTGACACATTGAGCGGCTCTGTGCATTTCTTTTCCCTATCCCAGCTATTGCCTCACCTTACCTTACCTTACAGACATACAGGCATACAAGCATACAGACATACATACAGACATACAGACAGACATACAGACAGACATACATTATACTATTTTATATAATAATATAATATAATATGAAATAATATCATAATATTATATTACATTTTAGGTATATGTATATATGTATACACGTGTGTGTATATATATATTATATATATATTATATATATATATATGTTTATGCATCACTCAACCCGGGGGGAGAGGAGGGCAAAATCAGTTCGGCGTGATAGATCACTGCGTATGCATTCAGTCTGTCCCCCATTTCATTTTGCTAAAGCAACACTAACTCCAGCGAGCGAGCTAGCTTTCGTGAAATGATCCATCAAATTTAGGTGTACCCATTTGGAGACATACACAAATTGATCTTCAGCGACTTGAATTCAGGGTAAGTTTCACCCCAAATTCGGCCTCACAAGGCTATACTCATATTGTCAAAGCATGCGAAGAAATCATCAGGGGTCAATTGCCCCAATCGTTGGCCAAAAATCAACATTTGAATCGAAGAAGCAGCTCAGGGTATGCCTGAGCCCCATCATAGATCACGAATTCCTGATGGACCTGTTGTTGTCCAGCATTTCCTACAATTCCCGCACGTGCAATGACGGAATTAAATCGACCTTGACCTGGATTGGCAAGGTCTTTGTAAGGCTCAACTCTCTCCCCCTTCCTGGGACCATTGGTAAAGCAGGGATCACCTAGCAGCAAGCGTGCAACGATGATGCAACCTACCCCGCTGGGCATCCCATTGCAGAGGGCACCTGAATACTGCAAAACTTTGCAACTTTCATCACTGAAGTAAAGACCTTGTCCATAAAGCCCCTCTTCACGGGACAAGCGATAATCAAATCCAGTCTCCTCAATCTTCTTGGCTTTCTCTTCATTCGTACCATGCAAAGCAATGATCTCGTTGAGCCCGGTATCCAAGGTGATCCAGGAACAACAGTCTTTAAGCTTTGAAGCCACTGACTGCACCTTCACACCCTTGAGTTCCTCCTGAAGTTGATTTTTCCGATGCTGGTAATTCTTCCAGACCTTGACGTTGTGGATCTGCTCCATGGACACCAGCTCCATCTGCCGCATGGAATCGCACTGCGAATGATGACTTGTTGGCACCGCAGCCCGAAGAAGGCATTGGATCTTGCGAAACAGCGCATCGCCGACCCCAATGGCACTGCAACTCGGCGGAGAACCTTGATGTTGCGTCCGCCACATTTCTTGCAGAGAGACCTGCGCAGAGTGATCCGCTTGTTTCTGCAGCGCGATGATCTCCGAGGTCAGCTTTTCGTTTTTTCTTTGGGATTCCTCCAGAAGGACATCCACCTCCTGCTTTTCATTGGTCAACGTGCGCACTTTGCGACTGTGGAACTTGTTTGCTTCATCCATCTCCAAGACTTGCGCCTCCAACTCAGCGATCTTCGACAGAAGCCCCTCTCTGTCTTCCAGCCAAGTAATTTGGGATTCCTCCCGACGCCTGATCTTTCGCAGTCTCTGGGTCTTGGGGTTCGTTTGGGTCATGGCTGCAATGTCAATGTAGTAGATGAAGCCATTCGTGGTCAAATTTATCTCATGGGAACCTCCTGTATCCATAGCATCCAGATAGCTGTCCTCCAGAATCTGCTGGACGTCCCAAAGAAACGCCTGCCACTGGCCTGGACCCACTTCAAACTCCCACAGGTAACCTAGATGGTCAGGATTTTTCTGAAAGATATGGGTGAAATGTCAGCTGGGGATATGATAACCCTCCCATTCTTGGGTTTAGAAAAAAAGCTTCGGTGGTATCCCCAACAGCCGCAACGTTTTATTCTTACAAATCTTTCTGAAGCGTGCTGCGAAGCCAAGCGCTGGAAACCCTGTCCTGACCTGGCCCTGCACCAAAGATTCCCAAAAGCTTCTCCGGGACCTGCTCTGCAACCTTCTCCTGACCCCGTTGAACCTGACTTGGGTTTGCACCAAGGCTTCCTGGAACCTTCTCAGGAACCTTCTCCGGAACCCTGTTGCACCTGACTTGACCAAAGCCTCCCAGACCTTCTCCACAACCTTCTCCCGAACCCTGTTGAACCTCACCTGGCGCTGCACTAAAGCCTCCCGGAACCTTCTCCGGAACCTTCTCCGGAACCTTCTCCGGAACCTTCTCCGGAACCTTCTCCGGAAACGTGTTGAACCTAACCTGGCTCTGCACCAAAGCCTCCCACACCTTCTCCGGAACCTTCTCCGGAACCCTGTTGAAGCTGACCGGGCTCTGCACCAAAGCCTCCCAGACCTTCTCCGGAACCTTTTCCGAAACCCTGTTGAACCTGACCTGGCTCTGCACCAAAGCTGTCTCCAGAACTGTGTTGAACATGACCTTCCTCTGCACCAAAGCTTCCCGGAATTTTCCCTGGAACCTTCTCCGGAACCCCAAAGCCTCCCAGACCTTCACCGGAACCTTCTCCAGGACTCTGTTGAGCCTGACCTAGCTCTGCGCCAAAGCCTCCCAGACCTTCACCGGAACCTTCTCTGTTGAACCTGACCCAAAGCGTCCCAGACCTTCTCCAGAACCTTCTCCGGAACCCTGTGACCTGGCTCCGGAACCTTCGGATCCTTGTCCGGAACCTTGTTGAACCTGACCCGGCGCCTACACCAGTGCACACCGGAGCTATTCTGGCCTGAAGACCCCATTAGCTTTGGCTGTTGGGGAAAAACACATAAAGATGACACCACCAGTAGCTTTCGGTCTGCACATGCACCGATCTCTGGTGATCACTGGGCTCCGTTTGTGCCGTACGATCTTGAGAGCCCAGGTGTGTCCCGAGGTGTGTCTGCAAGGTGCGGTTGCTGAAGCACTGCAAGCACAAGCGACAGAAAAATGGGCGGTTTGGAACCGTTTCGCTGATGATCACATTGGTATCCCCAATGCGGCGAAGTAGCTTCATACACTCACCTGGCGACGTGTGCGCTTTCACAAAGCGGTGCCAGGCATGGAATGAAATGAACGTGCGAGGAGAAACAAAAAAAGAATTGTTTGTACTTCAGCATTGCAAATATGGAAAAACACATGTTGATATGGATTGCCATCATCTGCAAATATGGTTTTGCAGCATGCCGTGCTACGTTACCATGACCAGTAGATGAAACCGACACCCAGTCACTGTCCAAGATATATTGGTCCTCTCCGGTCTTCACATACCAACTCCACTCTGTCCAACAATTGTGGCAAACCTCCGGCAGCCGTGCCAAGGATGCCCTTATGAACGGTACCCCAACATGAACATATCCATGAATATCCATGATATGATATCATGTGAAACCAGCGTCTTTGGGCGTAATGTCAGCGGGAAGAAAATAAATTCCTAGAGTCCTAGAGGAGAATGTCTCCCATTGGATGTGATGATGTTTTCCTTCCTGCAGGACTCATTTGTCAAATCTTCAAGAGTCAAAGTAGAAATGAAGGACTGTAAACCACCAGCCATTCCAGCCATTCAGCGAAAAGCATAGCATCTACGCGTTTCCCCTCGTCAACAGCGAAACATACTGGTTGTACGTGCCTGTTCGTGTTTCAAAGCAGCCCAAAAAGATGCATGAATTTGGGTATCGATCAAGCCATTCTCAGCCCCAAAGATTGATTTCAGATCCTAAACAGGACCAGCTATTCGTGGACCCATTGGCACCCCAAGACTTGACCCATGTCTAATTCTGCGGTTGTTTTGTGGTGCCATGTCAGGCCATCTGGTGGATTCTTTCGGAGATACCTCAAAATCCTCCAAGTCATTCCTTGGATCTTGAGGCATCCGAAAAACTCCTTGGCACCAAAATCTGTGCGTAATACATGTGTATGTATAATTATATATATATATTATATATATATAGTATATAGATGTACAGTAAATATGTGAGATCAGACTTGGAGGTCTTCCAACTTTTCGAAAAAACGCCAAAATTGGGCCGGGTCACGGTCTTGTTGTGATACCTGGTCCACAAAGAATTCGTTTCCTGCCAGCAGCTGGAGGTGAAATTCCACTCCCATGCGGTGGCAGATCTGCCCTCTTCCCACTTCATCCACCGCCACACCCTGCAGCGGTCATGAGAGTTGTGGCTGTGGATGACCAACCCATCACCCGAACCCATCACAACCCATGGGTCACTGAACCAACCACCCGAACTGCCCTTAAGCCCAGTGCACCTGTGCAGGTAGTTCCACTGTTATTTGGCACAGCATGCAGGTTCGATAAAAGAACATATTAGTGTCCAAAGTTTCATGTTCGACCAAAAATGGGACTATGGGTAACATCTGAACATTAAAAAAATTAGGATTTCCTACTATATAAACTGGAACTCAACAATCAAATTTGTTTGTAGAAACTTCCCCTTCACCATGTTTGCAGATCCGGGTAGCTCTTCTTCTTCCGCCCACAGCAGAACTTCCTCTCCAGCGGGACAGTCTGCATAACATCGCGCGCAACGAAAAACCGCCTTAAAGTCCATGGGATTTCGCCACAAATCCCCAAGTTGAAGGAGTTGGCAATTGCTCCAATTGTTGATGTGGCTGGCTCCAAATTGAAGGCCCACAAATGGATGGTCTAAATTAAGTTTGACCAAAGATGGACGTAAAATGGTCAGATCATGCCAAATCGTATGTCCTCGGAAACTGCCAAGTTTGGAACCATACTCACGTACCAGGAGGTCTGCATTTCCGGTTGTCCTTTTCTTTTTGAGATTGCTGGTTTCGAGAATTCTATGGGAAATATGGATGTGTGGATCTGGATAATGAGAAAAACATTTGATGGAAGGCAAAAATGCATGTTGGCAGTCGATTCTCCTTGCGTTGTTATTGTCATTGTGCAGTTGAACCGGAGACACGGACCCGAGGGTTCACTTGGAACATGAACACCTGAACCACGTTTTTAGCTGAAAATCGGTTCTCCCAAATCCAGAAAACTAACAACCCGATGTTGAAACTCCATGTTTTGCCTGGGAATGTCACATTTGGTCCACTGGTGGATTTTCCATAAATACTAGACTGATAGTTTTACGGGAGAGTAACTCTTTCGGGTCTTGGGTCTTCTCCGTTCCTTGACAAAACCCACGGTGTACCGCGCTCTGGCCTCTCTGCCGCCATCTGCCGCCGCGTAGGTGTGACATGATTGCAAAAGATTGACGGATAAGTACCACCAAAACAACCATGTTGAATATATTGGTGTATACTGTATACTATTTTTGGATGCATAAGTTTAGATTATATGTACGTACCGTGGCACAAATATTTCAAACAAAAATTGTGAAAAAATAAATTCCTATATAACTGAACCGCAATTTGGAACCAAATCATGCCAACACAGTATATGGACGTTTGTCGTTCGAGTGATGGGAATTGCCGTATACTTGCCGATATCAAGGAAAATACCTATTGAGTTGCTTGCCGGTTTTGTTTCACCTTTTGTGTTTATTTGACCGTTAGTTTCTCTGCATTGTTTTTACTGCAGTTGATTTTTTATATCTAAACGGAACTGGTGCACAGCGTGCATTTTAGTTTGGCCAGCTTTACCAACATTGCCATTCACACGACCTAAGAAGTCCTCCATATGCGTGTTACAAGGAAACCACGGCTCATTTGAACACTTTGGTTCCAGGTTATCATGGGTTTGAATCAACCAAGAATTATGCGAGTGAATGATGGATGGCACCTCCAGGATATCCATCGTTCAGCAAAGTATTGAATGGTGGTTCAACTCGTTGGTTTCGGGACCCCACATAGAAAACATTACACCAGCATAGACCCCCAACAGCAACAACGCATGTTTCCACCAAGGTCATGTGCAATTCAAAATTCATGGAACTGTCTGGCACACTCCTGTTGAGAAAAGAAAGAAGAGAGAAGAAGGGAGACAAGCACCGGAACCCCAGCCCGAAGCAGGATGAACCAGGAAATCCATCATGGAACAGAAGCCCTTTCCTGAGAAAAAAAAAGGGAGAAAAAGGGAGACAAGCAACGGAACCCCAGCCCGAAGAGTGACGAACCAGTAAATCATGATGGAACAAAAGGCCTTTCCTGAGAAAAAAAGGGAAAAGAAAGGAGACAAGCACCGGAACACCAGCCCGAAGAGGGAGGAACCTGTAAATCATGATGGAACAGAAGCCCTTTCCTGAGGAAAGAAAGAAGAGAGAAGGGAGACAAGCACCGAAACCAAAGAAGAGAGAAGAAGGGAGACAAGCACCGGAACCAAAAAAGAGAGACGAAGGGAGACAAGCACCGGAACCCCAGCCGGAACCAGGAGGAACCAGCAAATCATGATGGAACAGAACCCCTGTCCTGAGGAAAGCAGCAACCACAACGACAACGATGACAACCGTGACAACGACGACAAGGACAACGACAACAACGACAACAACGACAACAACGACAACCACAAGAACAACAACAACAACAACAACAACACCAACAGCACGTGCTATTGAACGCATTGCGGGGGGGGGCGCTGTGCCCTCCCCCCGTGCCCCCCACCCGCTCGATTAATAGCTAACCACCTTTCTGCCTTGAAGCAGAAGCGCGGCTACCACCACAACACCAACCGCAACAACAACGACGACGACAACGACGACGGCGGTGGCGGCAGCAAAAAAAATTATTAAGTTGCCTCAAGTCTCTTAATTCCATTTATCTTAACACAAATTTGGCAAGTTCATTGCGCATTCCACTTTTCACATGTTTGTAAAATTACACCGGCATAGACCCCAGATAGAAAAAGTTTCAGAAACGTTTTTTATTTGTCATGCATATGCCGTGCGAATTGGCTGCGGCAAAACCGGAACTGCTGGTTCCCAAACGTTGGAACCAATGCTTCCCAATCTTGGACCCACGAGTTCCCAATTCGAATATCAATTAGGGGAACAGGGGGGTAACAGGGGAACAGGGAGGAACAAATATTTTTACATAGATGTTCCACAGAACGTTTTCATGTCTCAGCCGCTTCGAACCTGAAAGAAGAAAGGCAATTGCATTCCGCAAATCACCAGGCCGAAGTGATTGCACACTACACACATGAAACAAGAGAACACATTAGACCCTGAAGGTACCACAAATCTGAAACCAAACGGATGTTCATTATGGCAACAATTTTGAGAATGTTCGAGGTGGTGATCATGAACATGATGCTGTTGATGATCGCGATGATGGTGGTGCGGGTGATGATGTTGATGCATGTTATGATCATCACGATCTTCCTGATGATTATGCTGATTCTGATGATGCTAATGGCCATGATCATGATGATCTTATTTCCTTTCTAGAAAAACGGCAGTTAAACTTACTATCAATTGTGCCAGGTTTCCGCTTGGGCCTAGATCGCGTACCTAAACCTGAGAGCCTTAAAAGAGAGACGCACAGCGTATAAAAGACGCGCGCGTTCGTGGTTACGCACCGTTCCAAATAGACATCGTCAGCACATCGATCGCCAAATGACCGTCACGTCGAAAACTGAAAAGGAAATAAACATCTCACAAATGCCGATGATGGACGAAGCGCACGGGATCATTCTTTTTCAGCTGCAAATGGGAAGACTCTGGATCCCGTTTTTGAAAAACGGTAGGGTTAGGCCACTATTCACAGTCCTCGTCACGCGTCCACTGTGAAAAGTAACCTTTCAAGTATTGACAAAAAATTAAGGGGGGGAAAACGCAGTTTGGGCGGGTACATCTCACACTCAAAAATGCAAGAACTAAAACCCACTCCTCCCACCCTTCTTGAGGCGAGAGCGGTCATATACATATATGTCCACTCTTCAGAAATTTAAAAATGTTTTGAGTTCAGGTTGTTTCAAAAACATCTCAAAACATCTCACGGAAATAAAGGAATGAACTTCAGACCTGAAAACTCTAGAAGATTCATCTTCCTTTATTTGTACAAAAATAAACAGGACAGTCAAACTCATTTGCTGTTTGCTGTTTAGGTTTAGAGATCATAACCTCGTGGTTACTGGCATGGAAACTGCCTAATTTTGTCCCAAGGACAAATTTTTTTTACGTGCATACGTGTGCATACATGCATACGTGTGCATACGTGTGCATACGTGTGCATACGTGTGCATACGTGTGCATACGTGTGCATACGTGTGCATACGTGTGCATACGTGTGCATACGTGTGCATACGTGTGCATACGTGTGCATACATGCATACCTGCATACATGCATACCTGCATACCTGCATACCTGAATACCTGCATACCTGCATACCTGCATACATGCATACATGCATACATGCATACATGCATACATGCATACATGCATACATGCATACATGCATACATCCATACATCCATACACGCATACATGCATGCATGCATACATGCATACATGCATACAGACAACAGACACACAGACACACAGACACACAGACACACAGACACACAGACACACAGACATACAGACATACAGACATACAGACATACAGACATACAGACATACATATACACATACATACATACATACATACATACATACATTACATACATTACATACATTACATACATTACATACATTACATACATTACATACAGACATACAGACATACAGACATACAGACATACAGACATACAGACATACAGACATACAGACATACAGACATACAGACATACAGACATACATATACACATACATACATACATACATACATACATACAGACAGACAGACAGACAGACATACTTACATACTTACATACTTACATACTTACATACTTACATACTTACATACTTACATACTTACATACTTACATACTTACATACTTACATACTTACATACTTACTTACATACTTACATACTTACATACTTACATACTTACATACTTACATACTTACATACTTACATACTTACATACTTACATACTTACATACTTACATATTTACATACTTACATACTTACATACTTACATAATATGCATGGGACAAACATCTAACTAAATGAAGGATTTTCGAGCACGCCATAGAGCTGATTGCCAGAAGAATCCCAATCTCCCCGGTCCGGGAATGTTTGAGGGCTGCCACATGGTTTGGCATGTCTTATGCGCAAGAATGGTTGCAGCAATACATCCATGGAACTCACCCAGAGGAGTTAGCAACTGCAGAGATCAAAATGCCTAAACATTGGAATCAAATGCTGATACAGCAGCGCTGGCGATTGGAGAGTGTATCATCGCAAGATGTTCTGGAACAACTGAAGATGGTCGCCCTGCTGATTGGGAACAGCCATTTTACTGGTTCACTTCCCAACTCACTCTACCAGTTTCTGCAAATTCAGTGAATCTTCCTGGACAAAATAAAGGGCCGTTGGCTTAAACTCGCTGATCTGATTGGGTATTGTATCCTGGTACTGTGGCGATATCTATCGCCTATCAACGTCCAGGTGCTTACCATGCCGCGGATCTGGACCATGGACGAGACTGCCGTCAACTTTCTGGAGCTTCACCAAGCTTGGCAGATCGAAAACTTCCACCTCTAGCGGA